AGATTTAAGGCATTGTATGGAATATATTTAAATGGAAGTTACTAGTTACCTCATATATTTAAGTTTTTTAAATTTAGAATGATATTAGATGGTATTGATCCGTTATATTTTTTGGATGAATTTGCAAATGTTGTGTTTAAATTCATCGGATTTAGAAATATTATTTTCTTTCTTATTCAGAGTCGAGTTACAGGTGGCATTCTGCAATCTCTACATACTTCTGAATTAAAAACAAAATATTACTCCGAACCCCACAATATAAAAAGGTCGATTAGATCAGCAAAATATTACAACTCAATCGGTAACAACAGTTCTTTTAATATTACAGATCTCGTTTCAACTAGAGATTAATTATTATTCTTAATAAGCATACATAAGCAATTACGGATCAGTCATTAAATGGGTTTCCCCAGAAGTACATGAATTTATTCATTTCTCATATATAATATGATAAAATATTTAAATATATTATATATGTTCGATATTTATTTTATTTAATTATAAAAACAATGTACATACTTACGTATATATACGTAAAGTCTTTCTTTTCGTCCTGTTGAGAATGGAATACTAAATACTGCAAATAATAACATATCACATTTGCTTTTTTACCATTCAATATACTTTAATTCTGCTGTTTTAAAACCTTATTTGATCATATTTCTGAAATTTTGTCGCGATAAATCTGTTTCATAATTCTTCTTTAATCTTATTTCCAAACATCCGCGGTGACGCATCTATTAGTTTTCATAACATCAGCATATTTTTATTTACAGAGGTTAATACTGAAATAATGATGCTGTTCTTCAAAATTAATGGCTTTACTTAAGAGACCAATGATCAGGAAAGAGTGTCGATGCGCGATTGCGTTGATTTAAATAAATGGGCACGTTACCACGCATTATATTGGCATCCATAAATATGAATGAATGTACACACCTCCAATGTACATACATCACGCTTCAACGCCTTTCCTAGCGCAACGAATGGCATGTCCAAGTAGACGTCAATCGTAGACCGCGTCCTTCCAAACAAGAAAATATATCGAATTGCCTCACAAATTAACCGCATCCGACCGTCAATCGAACAAGAAAATTAATATTTTTTTATTTTTTTTCATAATTTGCGCGCATACTCTGCAGAGGCACTGTGCGCATAGGGTGCAGTAGTCGATGCCTTTACGCGGAATACGTCCAGTCGACCAGGTTGTCGGTGACAATTAATAAAAAGTTGTATAAACAGCTGTAATATATGAACGTAAAATTTAAACGAAATTCATAAAAACAATTCTATTTTAGATTATTCGAATCCCGCTAACTTGAACAATTTTATATGACTGTAGTTAGTTAAATATCGTATAGTATTAAACAATTACAGTAGCTGAAGTGTAAGCGACTAATTTGTCATTTCTGTTCGCATTTTAAAATTTATCTATTTATGTGATATTAACTTTAATTAATTAGTTATTAGTGATACATGTCATGTTAAGTACGTACATACATTTACATTACAAAAGCCGCAAAATGAAAGTAGGTATACATAGCTTCATGTCGGTAGATCATATCAGTGTTTTGATTTTTAATATATGGAGTTGAGATCTGTGGGGGAGGCCTATGTCCAGCAGTGGACGTCTTCCGGGCTGCGATGATGATGATGATGATGATATGGAGTTGATATAAATAATTACACTCTGTCGATTAGAGTGCACTGCTTTATCAACGTTTTTTAATTATTATTTTATTTTGGGGTTATTTTTATGAACAATGCGCTCGTATTAATAAGTATCTATTTTAGTTGTTATTCCGTATACTGACTGAAATCTGATGAAAATAGTCAAAGTAATCAATCATTGGTGAACTAATGTACGTTTTTTACGCACTCATTTGTGTTGTGTCTAATGTCCAAGAGACCAACTCCATGGAATATTTTTTCATACAACTACAATTACTTAGTAATTCACCAAATTACGATTTCAACCATGCAATGTTTACACAGGTTCTTTCCTCTCCGTGCAATCAATTTGCAAAATTGTTTACATGTTTGCACACGTACCTATTGGAAACCAATGAAAATATCCGCAAGCGCAATAACACATGTTGGGCAGGTCAAGTTGAGGACATGGCGGTAGTGTCAATTAATATTCATAAAACAAGTCACTTCTTCTTTCACTGCCTGGGTACTTACCTACCACTATTTATTTAGACATTGTTTAGAAAGTGCTATTTGAAGTGTTATTTGTGTGTTGCTCTTGTCATTGAAAATATTTCATATTGTCTTAAAAATAGGCTGCCCACTTCTTTTTCTTCACTAAGCATCATGGTAAGTGTCCCAAGATCAAAATATATTCATACTGTATGACAGAATCAACTAACCTACGTGTTCTACCTGTCTGGTGATTTAGATTTTACTCTTTGATACTATTTTATTTTAGTACACACATGTAATATATACATTTCAATTATTGTCTATATTAAGGAATAAACTACAACTATGGCATATAATTGACAAAATTTGAATACAATATAAACCTTGATTCTTAAAATAAGATAAATCCTGAAGTAATTTATAATTCAAATGGTGAGTCTACGTATACAACGTGTATCTAATGGTTCCCTATCTAACATTACCATAATTTTACAAATTACAATTATTTAATAAGTTATAAATCACATCACCACATATATTTTACATTATGTAGTTATTAGTATACACAGTAGCTGTATTTATGTCAAAAATTTCTTAATAAATAATTTATTATGCTCTAAAGCTTAATGAATGAAATATAAAGAGAGAGAGAGAGAACATTAATAATATTCTCTCTCTCTCTCTCTCTCTCTCTCTCTCTCTCTCTCTATGTAAATATAAGAGAGACCTGAGTAAATCTCTCACACTAATTATAATTACGTACCTGTGAGAGGTAAAATATTTAGCTTGAGTATGTTAATGACTTACTGTGTACTTATTTCCCATTGAATGATCTGATAAGCTAATAATAGCAAAAGATAATAATTTCGTCATTCAAAGTGGAAGTGGAATGTTCGCCACCGAAAAATATTCCTGACATTTGCGTGACTATGTTTATTTTTTAAGATTGATATTTATTACCCTCCGGTGGTTTTAAAATTTAGTAAGGACAAAATCTTAAAATAAACATTTACTTAGTTATCATATTTGAAATACATGAGTGCATTAAGGTGGTATAGTCATTTATTTTAAATTATATCTTTTTACAGTTCATTACTAAATACTACTTCTGGAATAAACTTGTTTATATCAACAAGTATTATTTTATTTGTCAAAATAAAATATTAGTGAAATTAATATTAGTATATTAAAGAAAAATTAATTGCAAATAGAACTGAAATCGATTCAGATAAGTCGATGTAAAAAATCTCAAAAATCAAATAGGTACTATTAGCAAACTATTTTATGCTGTGAAACAGTTTGTAAGAAATATGTTATTATATGGCATTTTATATATTTGAAGAAATGAAATGAAAATAATTGACTGTGTCTACCTATCATTTACAGCGAATTCCTTAACATCTTATCATGGATGAATATTAAACTGTGCCCCCACCTGCGCTATATGCTGGCGAGGCATTGTCAGAGGATGATAGGACAAAGATATACAGCTAGGCTAGGCTAGGCTAGCTAGGTCAGCCCATAGTGGCGACTCCATCGTATCACTCAATCACACTAGACAAGGGCATGTGTTGGCTGATGACCACTGGAACCCATTGTTAATAATCCTCTACGCACAAATTAAAGTAGATATTTATACATACAATACTAACAATTAAACACCACTTTAAGTAATTTTGAGGATACTACATACCTGTAATAGGGCTTAATTCGATTAGTTTTTTGGTGCGGTATATAGTTTAACTGCAATTCTTGAATTCAGGCGCTTAACAATGTTTGCGGACATCGTATGGGTGCTAGTTCAAAAGGAGCACTCACGTAAAAGACAACTAGACAGAATGTATTGTTGCGCGATCAGGTCTATCTGTTCTTTTTTGAAATTTACATACCTCCACATGTACAATGCATAGACAGAGCACACGCTGTTTTATTTGTGAGTTCGAATTAGAACAGAAGACATTGGCCTCACATTGAGCAAATAATTGTTTCTATAAAGATACTGATTGCTATTACTATCAAATTAAGTTTGCTGAAAATATAATAAATTCTCCTAATACTTAAGTGTCTAGTGACTGTATCCAATACTGAGGACAGGGCCAATCCAACTGAAAGGAATTATTAATTATTACTATAAAAATGCGTAGTTAATATCCATATATAGTCTGAAATTAATTATATATTCCATTGTTGGATTATTTTTTAATTGATTGTTCTTTTCCTGTTACTGTTATTACTTTAATTGTACTATGATATTATGACGGCCGTTAAGTCCGTTATCTAGCTATTATCCAGGAGAGAAAATTCAATATACACAATTGTTATTTACATAAACGTAACATCAATAGAATGATCTATTCTCTCGATGTCCAACATGCAAATTTATAATGTTTGCCAGTAAGAAAGTTGTGGATTTTTTCCATTGACCAATAAGATCTCATAATCTATTAAAAATATGCCTATCACTTATATAATGGATATCACTTCACACTATAATATAATTAGAATAATATTTATTCATCTATTTGTATGCTTAATAATGGATACAGTTACAGCTTTTACAATTAATTATATTTTAAAATTACATCATTAGTAAATCAATACTCATAAAAGCGAAAGTATGTCGGTTTGTCTGAGAGATTAATGAAATTCAAAAAGATAAATTGTATTGCGAGAACATTAGTCCTCACGTGAAAAAGATTGCCTATATATATCTATATTTAGGCAATCATTTTCTTAAAAAACATACTAAGTCGCGACTAATATATAGTACTATGTTTAATTTAAAATAATTAACTGTATCCTTTGTATACTCGAATAAATTATTTGTTTAGTCAAATATAATATTTTAATTACAGACGCATGTTTACGGTGCCAAGGAGAGAGCAAGAAGGACTCATACGGCAAGCAAGACTGCGTGGTTGTATGGGGCGAATGTAATCACAGTTTTCACTTCTGCTGCATGTCACTCTGGGTAAAACAGAACAACCGCTGCCCACTATGTCAACAAGAATGGTCTATACAACGAATGGGTAAATGAAATGTCATCGTCTCCTGTACTATTCATCTCGTCTTACTTAATAGGTAGCTATTAAGTAAGAAGAGATGAATATATCACTTTTTTTCTTTAATTAAAAAAAAATATCTATTAACTATAACATTAATATTGTTTTTGCTATACATACCCTCAACACCCCGTAATAATAAACATAAGTATAAAAATATTAGTAATTTTATTACATGATAATAAAATTATATGTTAATAATTAGGTTAGGAAAATTACACCACGGAAATGTATACCAAATAGATTTTAAACACTGCATTAAAAGGTCGTACGAATATGTTAATTTAATATTTTGAGCGAATACTTTTATAGCTTTGTTAAGGTTACAAGCTAAGTGATTAATTATTTTATATTTACTAATATATTCCTACCAGAAATTAGCTATTGATAATACCAGATAGTCATAAAAATAATATCCCTGGATAATAAACACAATGCAATCTAGTCCCAAGCTAAGCAGAGCTTGTGCTGTGGCTACTAGACAGTTGATAGACATACATTTTTTTTGTAAAAAATACATAATACATGTATATGTATTATGGGTGTTTTCGATGATGTATATCATCGAAAACACCCAGACCAATACAAACAATCGTATTCATACAAATGTTTGCATGGTGCCAGGATTCGAAACCGCGGACTTCAGAGGTAAGACTAAACCGCTAGATCACCGAGGTTAATTTATAAGAATATATTCTCTTCTTCAGCGTGGGGTAGTGCGCCGTAGGGCGTATGCCACTCCAATCCGTTTGCACGCTTCACGGTTCGTAACCTGTTGGTGTCATAATTTTCCAGCGGTACTTACTATACCATCGGGCCACCCCGCAGCTGGTCTGGGTATCGCGTTGTCTCAATTCGAGAACTCATCATAAAGCTTTTAGCTAGGTTACTGATTTCCTGCTTCTTTGGGTGTTGCTTGTGGTGGTAGGTATTCTATGGAATAATAAACATCTTACTAATGTTATGGACACGATAAATGTTATCAATATGGGTGTATAGATGGATGTTTGTTACTCTTTAACGCAAAGAGGATTGGACGGATTTCAATGAAACTATACTCTAATATATTTTGTGCATCAGAATAACTATAATTTATAGTTATTCTTCACGCGGGTGAACCCGGGGTCATAACTAGTTTTCAATATAAATAGAGTCAATCGTAAGGTTTATACCAGTCTAATTACCATTGAGTGTGATATATTGTTGTCTACCGAGAAAATCCTGCATACTAAGTTTTCTTTACAAATACGAGTATGTTAATTGGTGGATATTATTATTAGTTAGAATTATATAACATTATTAATACAACAGATGTGTATAAAAATTGTACTGCTGATTTATCTATCTTATAAAATTATAGTATTTATACTACCCCATGTCACATATTTCAGCCGATAAACAGTTTGCTTTGTAAGCTCTGATTCGGTTGAAGGGTATAATAGGTATGGCAGAATAATAAAAGTATGGAAATTACTGGATAGGCTCCTCTGAAATGGTAATGCATAGGTGGTATCACAAGTGTCACATGATAACGTGATGTCCGTACTTCTCTTTATGAATATATGTAGATAGTTAAAAGCGACAGTTACCGCTTATATTCCTAGTTATAATCATATGGGCAATAAGCTTGTTTGTCGCTCCAAATAAAAGTCTTAATATATATGTTCATATGGCGGACTTAACACTTTAATATATATATGTATATATACTAGCTGACCCGACGTACTTCGTAACGCCTAACAGTCGATTCTCTATTTTTTTAGTTTATTTAATACTTATTCTGCTATTCAGGACGCGGGGTTAGCTAGTAAGATAAAAGAAAGTAATCAAATCAATAATTATTTTAATAGTCAATAAAAAATTACGAATTCAGTTTTTTTATTATGGTACCAACTTAATATATTTCATTTTATTTTTACTTATTCGAAATGACTTTTTATTTTTATTTTAGTACCTTATGATACACGATATTCTTTATGTGAATAATGGCAACTTAGTCAATACTAGGTGCATTAAAATGTCCTGCATGTTGTGTTGACCCACAGGAGTTTTATCAGGTCTAATAACAATTTTGTGATTATCAGGCGGCATCATATCTATTGCACTATTAATGGAGAATTGCCTTGCCTTGCAGTCGCTATCTGGCACTGGTAACAGTGAACCTGCTCTGTAATATATATGATGTTCTATCTCAAGTAACGGAAAACAATGTATTGTAAAATTGTGTATGGGTAATAATAGTTATAATTAATAAACATACAATAGCAAATACTATTACAACCCTAAAAAATTGGCAAAACATTTTTACAAACTGTTTTTGTTGCTCCAAATAAAATCATTTGAAAACAATTGTAAAACCAATGAGTACAATGGCTCTGGAGGTGGAAGCAATGGTATCAATTTCACCTTTCCATATGCGCAACACAATCCATTAGCTCCAGTTTTTTTTATTAATGCCTTACAATATTGCAAACTAAGTTTATAGGTTCAATAGTAACACTGTCAATTGAGCCATCGTAAAAGAAATCAGCTCGATTCAAACTTGCAGCATTATTAGTCGAATGTCGTGCTTCACGTGTCTGTCTTACCCGAATTCTTTCATCTTCATTGCGATCTTCATGTTCCTGAACAACACGATTAATATGATTCGTTGCATTTCGGGTTTTGTCTAAATCTTTCCGCCGCCTTATTAATAGGACTTCCAGACCTTAGACTTGACAGCTGAATATTATCGAGGAATATCTTATAAGAGGCTTGTTGAGTATAAATGAGTTACAAACACACAACACTTTTTAAATTTTTGGATTTTAGATTTGTAGTAATATTATAGATGCACATCAATGAGACATTTACATTTCAAGTGATATTTTATCACTGACAACCTATTTTTGACTAATATTGACACATCTACTTACACTTGAACTTTATAGTATGGTATTAAAGTTCAAATTGACTTTTAAATATAATTATGAATCTTTTGTATGGGATTCTTCCCGGAACCTCTCCACTAACATTTGAACTTTATGGTATGGTATTAAAGTTAAAATTGACTTTTAAGTATCATTAAAAATCGTTTTCAGAAAAGTGTTGTTTTTAGGCATTTTTAGGCAATTTTTAAAATTTTTCTCTCCGTAAGAACCATCCTCGTACGTCAAGGAATATTCTAAAAAATGAATTATCGAAATCGGTTCAGTAGTTCTCGAGATTAGCGCTTACCAACACATTTAGCGATTCATTTTTATATTATAGATATATAAATTTTTTTTATAATATTTGATTTGTACTTTTAAATTAATCCTTATTCTATTTGCCACGTTCTGTTTTATTTTCTTTTGCTAATTCACTGAAAACCTGTCATTGGCTTTCTCTAGATATGTACTTTTGATTAATGTATTAGATTGTAAGCTGTTGGTTTTCTAATAAATAAATAAATTTCTATAAAAAATAATATATATGTAAATATACAGATTAATACTACATATAAATAAATACTTAATGATCTCACAATCAAATTATAAGTACAGCCTCAAATTAAAATAAGAAGTAACAAATCAACAATAATATAAAATGAGGAGAAGGAAAGTAAAAGAGAAGTTACAAGTTTAAGTAATATACGTTTGAATGAAATTTTACTTGTCGATCTTGATATCAAGAGGTAAGCTAGTTCATTCCAAAGTTTAATAGCCTGAAATAATAATGTAAGGAAAACAATACTTTTGTTGATACTTTGTCCTGCAGTACAAGTTCCAATGTTAATCTGCCCCATGAGGTAAAATGTTTGTTAAGCGATTAGATAGTGATAATATTAGTAGTTAACTGAACCCGGAATTACGATAAATATAATGATTCTGATTATTGTGAAAAATTGCAATAAAAACGAAACATTTGTTTATTATAATTCGATTTGATTACTAAGTAAGTGCTATAGACAAAAAGATGAGATTTATGAAAAATAAATACTAGTCCCATGTGAAGATATGCTGTCTACTGAAGTATCGAGATTCAAACAAATTTTGGCCCGATGTATACCTATATAATAAAAAATCTAAATTATGGCGTACATACACATGAGGTAAGGCAGTTTTGAAGGTTTAGTGTATAATATTGTAATTACTATTGCATTAATAATATCTAGTAAACATTAACTATTTATCATGACGACTTTATTTATGCCAGGCTAACAGTCCATCTAATGGCATTGTAGACAACAATAATAATATTCAATACCGTCCGTTGTATACGTCATTATGTAGGTTGCTAATCGCAGTTTTTGTATCAGAGGTTGGCATCCGATACAAAAGACGATAACGGCACATTCATATAATGCTAACTGCATTACGCTTCACGACAGGAAGGTGAGGCGAGTTCTATACTACCACCACGTACCCATAATTACCTTCAAGTATGACATAAGTAATAATAATAGGTATTAAGAATGCAAATAAATTAGTAGAAAAATAAACACTGCGCTAATGCTTCGCTTGTAATAATCAATCGTAATCCTCCGTGAGGATTACGATTGATTATTCTATTTCTTATTGATTATTATTTATTCTCCGCTATTGCCACCTCGCCAATGATAATTACTGCGACAGATTATGCGATTTATATATAATTTATTGTTATAAATATTTAGATAAATGTTTTTTATTGCGACTCGATATAATCACTCAATAAATAGTACTATATAATACTGTATACTGCCTCAGCAGTCCGGCTAAAATGAATTACTACTTTTTGTTTTAAATTTATAGCATAGCAAACCAAGTTTCATTATTAAAACAACTACTTGACTACAAGTCTTCAATGTCTAAGTAATAACTGAGATCTACTGATTATAATTATATTTAATTAATAATATCACATAGTAACTGCGTAGCAATTCATCAAAGTGATCGACAACACCAATGTCATATCAATAAAATCGCTTGAAACTTTAAATTACAATGTATACGACGCACATTCATCGTCAATGACCTAAGGTGATGGATAGGCTAGTCGCCACAAATTACTGGGGATGCCTACGATAACTGGGATAGGTACTCTAATCGCTTTAGTCATAGTGATGGACACTAAATACCACCAATATCTATGTATGT